TTTTAAATAAATGAAGTGAGTTGAGCTGTTGGTGTTTCAAATAAAATTAATAAATATATCCGCAGCAAAACCAGAGTCACCGACACAGCCCAAAAAATCAGTAAACTGAAGTGACTAGCAATATTTGAGTAGGGCCTGCTGGAATTAAAATCTAGTAGCGCACAAATTATTTAAGAAAAAATTAAAATAATTTCAGTATCTCACGTAAATTATAAGCCCTTCGATACAGCCTCAAAGATTGCCTAAAATATTTTAGTATTTTATCTGGTAAATTCAGTCATATACGTACATATATTTTTTTCTGATAATTATCCCCATAATTAATAGTATATACTACCTACCAATGTAATTTTTTTTTCAATTATTTACTTCAATAATATTTAAATAATAAATTTTTCCTTTCCTTCACCTTTTTGACATTTTATCAAACAAATTTTCCATTGGTTACGAAAAAGCACAAGGAAAGTTCGAATTATGATAGTTTATTATCTGTAGATGATAATAGTTATTTAAAATAACCCATAAATCGAGTGAAAGTTTATCTGCTTATTTGTACTTTATAACTATCACATACGAGTATTATGTGATATTCAAATGTTTATAAAAACAAGAACCAATTACGCTTATACTATGTATCTATACGAACATATTTTTTATTTGCTTTTAACCGAGAGAAGCCAGCAGTGAACGCTTATTATAAGCACAAACGAGCACAGCGACAAGCACAAGCGAGGTGTCGTGTCACGCGTGATATACGAGTACGCGGGTAAATCCGCCAGTAGTTGATAAAGGAGGAAAGAAGTCAGCGTTATTGTTAGTACACCGAGAGGAGAGTGTGAATAAGATAGTTGTAGCTTTTTATGAAACTAATTTATAATTTATATAGTATATTATAAATACCTATTATAATTTTTAATGTAAAACCAGCAAATGGTGAATTCATTTTTACGCAGCAGCGGGACAACAGGTCGACATAATTTGCATAGAGATAATTTATAGAACGGTATGTGACATCGCCTACTGGATATCTCGGAAAATCGCACGAGTCTTGTGGGATAAATCTAGAGCGTATTTAGGACACTCAATAAGTTTTGAGAAATACAAAAAGTAATGATTTCTTAAATTTACGCGAACACTACACATTGAATAAAATAAAATAAAAATAAATTAAAGTTATTAAACGCGTTAAAATCCGTAAATAATAGTTTTATTCAAATACAAAAAGTATTCTAGATACTGTTACGAGCTTGAGGTTCGTGATAATAAAAACTGCCGATTGAATTACCAAAATTTACACTTTTATTACCGAACACCAGTTAAAACTTAAAACACTGATAATTAACCACACTGATTCACTTTATTTCGCTTCGAAGCTTCGCTTGTCTCGCCAAATTCAATACTGCCCCGATCGCGGCATGCAGAGGGTTTAAATACACTTTTACACCAAAACATCCAGAATATTCCCGTAGATACGGGCGCAGAAAGTTCCAGTGTGGGGCTTCTAGAAAGCTTAATTCTTCTGTTCGATACTAGATGGCGCTGTTGGTCGAAAGTAACGATTGACATTTTCTAGGAAGCCCTCCTCGCTCTTTTCCACCACACTAGATGGCACTAATGGACAGTACCTGACGTCAACTTAGGCGCGCAACAATACTATTAATATTTATTTTACATCTTTTTAAAGTGTTCTCCATCATGATCTATACAAAGTTCCATTCGCCTAAACCAACTCTGAAAACACTTTTGCTAGTCTTGGCTTCTTCGGCGCTTGAAAAAACTTGCTTTTTATTTTTTCTTTGACATTTGGGAACAAAAGGAAATCACAAGGAGCTAAGTCAGGAATGTAGTAGAGTGGGCAATTTAGAGTTTCAACAACAAATTCCTCAATAAATGCTTTTGTTCGAAGGGTGGTATGTGAATGTATATATCATGATGCAGCATGATTCTCCGAAGACCGGTCTTCTCTCTCGCACAGCTTGAAAAGCTTTGAGTACAGCTGTAGTATACTATTCAGAGTTGAATGACCTACAGTTTTCCAGCATTGATGCCGACAAATGTCCGCTCCGCGAAAGAAAACTAGCCACCATTTTTTGCCGACGTTGCGAGGTCTTTGCAGTTTTGTCGGTAACTGTCTTTCTAAGTAGAACCATACCGATGATTGCCTTTTGTTTTCCGGATCATATTGATAGATCCATGTCTAGTCACCAGTAATTATTTCTGAAACACGCCTAGATGCCCCGTTTTCAAAACATAGACGAATTTCGTGGCACAAATCCACACGAGTTTGTTTTTCGCTTTCGGACAGCAAACGAGGAATTTATCGACAACAAAGCTTCCTCACTCCAATACGTTGATTTAGGATGGTATGAATGCTCCTCGAACTAATGCCTACAATATTTTCGATGTCCGTAAGTATATGTGATTCGCGGGTCTTCTCGCAATAACATTTCATACTCCATACATTTTCTTTTCGTTCTATTCGTTGTATGCGAGGCCCCAATTCTTTGGTCATTTTTAAGGTTAATTTTACCGCTTTTGAATTCAGAAAACCTCCTAAAACTTGTTGCTCGTGATGGAACTGCGTTCCCTAATGCTTATTGTAACCGTTGTAAACTTAATTGTTCGGTTAAACAAAATTTAAAATCATTATATCTATAATATATATACACGGTCCATCCAGCGTTTTAAATGAAAAGCGCGGGAAGCGTTGCAGGAAAATTAACAGAGCTTTGTTTTTTTATATTGAGCAATTGGCTTATGGAGTTCTATTTTTAAATAAATTTTCTTTTTAGAAACATATAACACGGGTGCATTCCACTTTTAAATTTCGAGCATCTCAAAACTTATTGAGTGACCTACGTAATTCCCTTTTGCTGTTGTTTTAGGTCTTCCAATAACTCATTGGTTGTTACTTCTCACCAAGGTGTAGGCTCGGTTAAAAGCTTGTATTTTATAAACGATAAGTGATCCAAAAATTAATGTCATTTATAGCTCTCTCTCAAAAGTAGCAAAAAAATATTTCTAATCACATTTAATGTGTAAATTTCGAGTTATCTTCAACGATAAGTAAATCCAGTATATGAGATACTAGTATTAACGATACAGATAATAGATAAGGACTGTCAACAGGCCGTGAGATAAGTTTAGTGGGTTGTAAAAGATTCAGATCCCGTAATTTGTCGTGATTATGATGCGATGAGTAATATTTATCGCATTTTACGACTAAACAGCGAACGTAACGACCGGTTGATATATAATGCTTTAGAGCAATTATCAAAACAACTATACTACATTATAATATCATCTAAAGCAGTTTTTTTACACTATAAGACTGTTAATACATTTAATTTTCTTAATTTTTCATGTAGAAAGTTCAAGACAAAGGTCATGTGTAACGTCCGGACCATCCTTTCTGACCTTCTGGTAGAGTACATTTTCTTTCCTTAGTAATAAATAAGTTACTTTCATTAAAGGATTTATGACGTGCGCCATGAAGTCGTTTGACAAATATTTGCCTCATACGTTAGGTAATCAAATTCCCGACCAGTAGCGCAACAAAACGCTTAAAACTTCACTGCCGTTACGCAAAAAAATTCAATGACTACGCATAATACTTTGATACTCTTGGAGATTAGTATTAAATATCTTAATAAATACAAATGCTACTTTGATTATAATCCTCAATAGTGCGTGCGTGCGTGCGTGCGTGCGTGCGTGCGTGCGTGCATGCGTGTGTGTGTGTGTGTGTGTGTGTGTGTGTGTGTGTGTGTAGTATGTGTGTGTGTGTGTGTGTGTGTGTGTGTGTGTGTGTGTGTGTGTGTGTGTGTGTGTGTGTGTGTGTGTGTGTGTGTGTTTTGGTTTGTTTTTGAGTTTTTTTTTCTAAATAAAATTTAAAATATTTGACTTAAAATTCGAACGCTGCCAAGTAAGTCGAAATCAAATCAAATCGAACAAAAAATATCAAAAAGAACGACGCGCTCAAAAATTAATCAAAAGCTAATAAGGCCTAGCTAAGGGAAATTGGAAATGAAATGAAAAATATCCGATTTAGTCTGCAGATTTTAATAAAAATCATTGGTTTAATACAATTGCTATGTAGTATAAATGAAAAATTGTAACATTTTCCATGAAGATTAACAAAATTAAACATTTCTTAAAACCTTGCTAGTGTGCATTATTATAATTGTAGAATAATAAGTCCTACTGCTTTAACGAACTCAAATAATAAATATATTGTAATTATATTTAATATTTGTAATAACTAAAGCACATGAATGCAGTAATTAAGACTTAAAATTCTAAAAAAAGATATGCATATGACAGTTTATATGATATATAAACTGCCTCGCCTAACAGCACTTAAAGTCATTACTATATTGATAAACGAATTAACAAACAAACGCACTCCTCGAGATTATCATCAGTACGTCGATCGTGTCTCGAGTTGAGTTGAGTGTTAGGTTGAATTGAGTTGAGTGTTAGGTTGAATTGAGTTGAGTGTTAAGATGATTTGATCCACAGACATCTCGAAGAAGAATCTAAATTTAGATCGGCTGTTACCCGTGAGGACTAAGATGAAATGCTTAATTTATAGTAAATTGGGTCTTCGGTTCTCTACTCTACTAAACTAACTAACTACTAAAACACATTAGTATTAAGCTGATATTTTACGCCTGTATTTTGTGAAAGCGTGGTCTTTTCTGGGTTGAGCCGAACCATTCCTTTTACAATCATAAAATAGTCACAGTATGGCTCAACCACGTAAAAAAAGTAAAGCAAGTGGGTCTTAAAATATTTTCATCGACAGTATTTAAATTTAAACCCTGTCGCAAGAAGTCCAGCAACGATGTTAATACACTTGAAAGTTCACGATAACCTATATTGGTAACTGGGACATGACGTAATTATTTCGATATATATTTCACTACTATATAAATCACACCTGCTGCGAGCGCCTTGCGAAACTGTTGACGAGATTGAAGTAATGAGATAGTCAGGAATCAATCATGTCTTACTTCGAACAGACGCTGCATCTGTGATACTTTACGAGTCACATAATAATCTATTGGGCAAACATCCAACAGTCTAGGTAATTAAGTGTTCCATGTAGGTATTTTATTTTCATAAATATAACACTCTACAAGCAATATTTAATACTAGCAACCCACTCAGACTTCGTTTAAATAGAATCTATGTAAGTGCCGTTATGCAGGTTTAAAATAAACAAAGTCCTTTTATTTAATCAGTATTTCTTTTTTTAATAATCTTCAAGTTTTTGCGATAAAATATAGCCTAAATTCACCCTCGCATTGCTTTCTATTTATTCGTAAAGTTTCATTATAATTGGTTTAGTAATTCTGAATATTAAACCAGACAGACAGAAAGTCTGACCAACAGACAAAAGATTTTAAAATGGTTATTTATGTGTCCATGTCACACCCATGCTGGCAGTTGTTGGGAGCACTAAGCTCGAAGTTGTTGGCGAGTACGTTTACCTGGGACAAATAGTCTGACTAGGTGAGTTCAAAATCGACCGAGAGGTTAATCGACGGATTCAACTCGACTGGACAACAGTTAGAGAAATTACGATACATCTTCTCGTCAGGTATACCTCAAAACCTGAAAACTAGATTGTACAAACAGTGCGTGTTGCCAGTGATAACCTACAGATCCGAGTCGTGGTTCTTCACTGCTGGCCTTATGAGAGCGCTCAAGGTCGCTCAGCGAGCTATTGAGAGGTCTATGTTCGGGGTTTGTCTGCGTGATAAACTTAGAAATAAGGATGCCCGCATTAAAACCAGAGTGACCGACATAGCCCAACTGATTAGGTGGCTGAAGTGGCAATGAGTCGGCTACATAGCTCGAAGAACTACAACTGTTAGGGAAAAGAGGTTCTTGAGTGGCAGCCTCGTACCGGTAGGCGTAGTGTAGGGCGACCCCCTACTAGATGGAGTAACGATCTGGTAAGACATGCAGAAGTCGACGGATGCAGGTGGCTCAGGACCGTGCTTTGTGGCATTCCTTGGAGGAGGCCTATGTTCATTAGTGGACTTGTGAAGAGCTGTAATGATGATAATGATGAACATGCAAATGACGCCCTGCTTTTAATAGAAGTTAGCTATTTCAATATTGCAGAGAGATACTTCATTTTTTAATAGGTTATTCGGAAAGTAATTTTATTTTCTCCCAACAGAGAACTTTTTGTCACAGTGTAATTCACAATGATTGGTTATGCACCATTAAACATTTTGACAGATGATATACCGGTGCATGCTTATGAAAAAGTTCGATTGTTTTCACGCGGTAGTTTTTGGTTAGTACCACTTGGAATATCATTAGTGAAAAGCAGTATTTTCGGCATATTTTTCTTTTTTACTATCGGAAAGCTAAAAATTCTTTTCAAACAAGAAAAAATTGTCCAATGTATATAGAGATAAAGTTTTGACAGAACACCAATTCGAAAGCTGATTTACACAATTTCGATACAGCAATTTTGATGTTGAAGTTGCACGTTCTGAAAGGTCAGTTAAAACTGATGAAGACCCAATAAAGACATTTATTGATGCAAACGGGCTTATAGCAACTCATGAGGTTTCTAAAAGATTAAAGTTATCGAATTCTATCCTTCATGATTATTTGAACGCTCAGGCTTAATCTTAAAATTTTACATGTTCTTACTGATAGAAATTTGTGTCAGCGCATTGATGTCAGTGATTTGCTTCTCAAACGTCAAAAAAAATTATGCATTTTTGAAGCACATCATAATTGGGGACAAGAAATGGGTTGTCTACAACAATGTTATCCACAAGAGATTATAGAGTAAAAAAGATGAACCGGCTGAAAGCACTTCGAAAGCCGATATTCATCAAAAAAGGTGATTCTATCTGTTTGGTGGGATTTCAAAGGAATTGTTTTTTCTTTAAGTTTTTACCTGACAACACAGCGATCGACTATTGTATTCCACTATTATACTCCACGTTTGGTACCTTATGATTGGGGAGTATCTATATAGTTTTCTCATCAGGTTGGGATCTATAAATATATAATTATAAATGAAAATGAAAAGATAAATATATACATAAATATCAATAACATAAAATAAATACAAATATACATAAATAAATAAAAGCCCAACCAGATGAAAGCCCTCGGCAGTGGAGACCAAACGGCCGAGGGTTAGGGGGAAAGGGAAAGAAACCGGTGGACGATGCGGGCAGTATCAAGGAGCACCGCCTTCTGCATTTGAGCCCGGAGCGGTCCGTCACGGAGTCCCAGTAGCCTTAGATGACCAGAGAGGCTAACTAGGATTATCCCATTTGCAGAGACGACTACAGGAATAATTTCGGTCGGCAGACCACCCCACATGTCGGTCACCTCGTGAGCCAGGTCCAGATATTTTGATTGCTTATCTGTTTCGGCTTTCACGAGGTTCTCGTCATACGGGATGGTAATATCGACCAAAAATATCCTTGACTGTGCCCGGTCCATCAGCACAATATCAGGCTTATTCGCAAGAACAGTCCTGTCTGTGATGATGGCCCGGTCCCAGTAGAGCCTGGCGCGGTCATTTTCGAGCACGGCTTCCGGCAAGTACTTGTAATACGGCAATTTCCGGTCCACGAGACCGTATTTCAGAGCGAGCTCCTGGTGTAGAATTCTGGCTACTGGGTTGTGCCTGTGCAAGTGCTCAGAGTTAGAAAGCGCCAAACAACCGGAGATGACGTGCCTAAGCGACTCACCGAGATGGCGACAAGCTCGACAGACGTCGACGTCGTATCTCCGATAGTTGTTGGTCTTAATAACCTGATCCTGTATTGCACAGACAAAACCCTCGGTTTCCCCCGAAGAGGCGACTGTATCTACGAAAGGCTCATGAAGAGCCCTGTAGTACCTCCCTGGAGCTCCTTCTCCTTCCATACGGTCTCCCGGTCGGAAATGCTAAGCACTGATGGGTCCTGCCATTGCTCGAGGGCTAAGGATAGAGGGGTAAGCCCTTTATAACTAGAAATGACGTCATTATAGAATGGATCATCCGATCTCACCAGGAAGTACTCACGGAGGCTGCACACTTCGCGATTATAAATGGTGAGCGCGCTCAGAAAACCACGCCCACCATGCTTACGCGGCAAGTACAGCCTCATTACCGACGATCTCGGATGATGCATCCTATGGGACGTCATGGTAATGCGGACTTTTCTATCCAGGGCGTTAAGTTCGGTCTGAGTCCACCTGAGTATGCCAAAGGTATATATGAGGACAGGTATGACCCAACCGTTATATGCGTGTGTCTTATTCACACCGGACATAAGACTGTTAAGCACTTTGGTCAAGCGTGCATAAAACACGTCGCAACCTGAATGTTTCATAACAGCCTCATCGATACCGATGTTCTGTGACATACCCAGGTATCGGTATGTTTCAGCCTCGGAAAGGGTCTTTAAGTTGACGGGCATAGATAAATCTATGCCCTCAGAGCTAGCAACTCTTCCCCTTTCAACATGAAGGACCGCACACTTATCCGTCCCCAGCTCCATTCCAATAGAACTGCTAAATTCACAAGTGATGTTTAGCAGTTCCACAAGATGGGAGCGACTGGAGGCGAATAACTTGAGGTCATCCATATAGAAAAGGTGGGTCACTTTTGTTCCTCCCTTCCGTAGCTGAAATCCTCTCCCGGAGCCCTCCAGTAAGGTACTGAGAGGGTTGAGAGAGAGACAGAACCAGATTGGACTCAGACAATCGCCCTGGAAGATACCCCTTCTTATCCTTATGTGGTTCTCCGCAGCCGCAGCCCAGATAACAGAGGATCGTACTCCACTGCCCTATACACTGCTCGATGAAGTCTCTAACTGTACAGTCAATCTTGTACAGCTCGAGGACCCTCTTTAGCCATGTATGGGGCACCAAGTCGAATGCCTTTCTGTAATCTATCCAGGCGGCGGAGAAGTTCCGGCGGTTACGTTTCACCACTTTGCCAATGACCGCGTCAACGAGGAGTGGTTCCTTGGTTCCACGACCACCGCCCCAACATCCATTTTGAGCGCGTGAAATCACCTGATTTAGCTCCAGGTGACGAGTGATTCTCGCGCTCAAAATGGATGTCAGTGTCTTATATATGGTGGGTGGACACGTGATGGGGCGGTACTCGCTCGGGTCTGTTGTATCCTGATCTTTAGGAACCAAGTGAGTGATCCCAGTAGTGAAGAGGCTCGGGAGCGACTTCTGATCGAGAGCCTCTTGATACTGTCGGGCGAGCACAGCGTGACACACTACGAACCCCTTCAGCCAGTAATGATGCAGCCCGTCGAAACCCGGACTTTTCCAGTTCGGGGCCCTACGGACCGCCTCAGCCATGTCTTCAGGCGTTATGGTGACGGGGTCCATAGGCGTAACACTTGCACTCTGGCTCGCTACAACTTCCATCCAAGGGCCCTCGCTGTGGTTTACGGGCTCTGACCACAGGCCACGCCAAAATGCGACAGTGTCAGCCTGATCCGGTCCTGGGCCCGCTCCACATACCTCTGGTCGCTCCAATGATTTATAGAGCCTCTTCTGATCACTCTGGAAGAGACGATTCTGGTTGAACCGCCTTGACCTCTCGCTAAATCGTCGAATCCGCTTCCCCCAAACAGCGATTTTTTGCTTCAGGTCATGTATGCACTCCGTTAGTTTCTGCGTGATATCCGGCTCGGACAAAATAATATTTGTCCCAGCAAACGCCATTCTATCGGTGCGCATAACTCTCGGTCTATTATTACCCGACCTGAAGCTTGTCAGTCTGCCGATAAGGGCCCTTGCCTTTGCGATACGGTCCTCGATCCTTTTTCTCCAGGCTGGGATGGCACTACCTTGTTGAGTAGCACGTCCAGCCATGGGAAGTTTGGCGCCAATAATACGGCATACTGCCAGTGCGGCGCCAAAAAGAATTGAGTCCGTCTCGCAAAGGTCCCGGCTGGCTTCCAAATAGGTCACCAGCATTGGGTTAAGAGCCCGCACGACAGCCCGATTTCGCTTGCTAAAGTGTATGCGGGGAAGTCAAGGTCGATTTTCGAGAAGCATGCTGCGCGTTTCCAGTATCGACTCTTCCAATATGCTCCTCATTTTCTCTAGTTCGCGGGGGACTATTCCATCATCGTCTGAATCAACCACAAATGGAATATTGACGGCAGCGTCCACATTTGCAGTTTGCTGCGCAATTAGTGGCGCCGTATTCCCAGCCGTAGCATTTCCATCCGATGAGGGAACAGCCTCACGTCGTAGTCGTTCGATTTCGGCGTCACCAAATATGTTGGAGCGCAGGATGTACCGAACTCGGTCTGCCAGGTTTTGCTCAGTGACGGATAGAGATGGCTCCAGCTCTGCAAAAAAGCGATGTATCCGAGCCCGATATGCCAAACATCCGGTTTCTTCCCCTTTTGCCCTAAAGTACGCCCGCAGAGCGTTTGCGTTCATTTTTTGTGACCAACGCATGCGATGTGCTCCACCAGTACCTTATGATTATTATTATTATGTCGGTTTCTATATTTTTTTAAACATTAACACTTTTACTGCAAAATAAGAGGTCAAAAACCGTCTGGATCAGTTTTAGCCAGTAAAGAACAAAAATTTTATTAGCATGGAAACATGCTACTGCCCAAAAGATGGCAAAAGGTATTGAACCAAAGTGGACAATATACAGCTAAATAAAATATTTACTCACAACAAGAAAACCGTCTTTCATTTTCATAACAACCCAATATACGAGTATGTATAGATTCACAGATAACGTACTGGTTAATATGTAGTGTGGTGGTGGCACAATCCATCACTCTATCTATCACCCCATTTCATCTCATTTGGTGTGGTAAGTGACGACTATGGGATATTTCGAAAAGTTTTATTTTTTCTAATAGATCGCGGTATGACAATAACGCTTACGCCATTTATAAAATACCAGGCCAGCAATGGCCTCAACGATGTGAGGCAAGTCTAGTACGCGACCGTCAATAAGCCTACAAAGCGTGATGATAAAGGTGGATATCATGTACAATCAACTACAGTGGGAGAAATTCATGCCCAACGGTGGACTTTTATGAAACTATAACGGGATCAGCCCGTAAAAGTTCAGCTTTGAATTATGGGAGAAAGAAAAAAACGTACTTTGTAAAATAGCCTTTTTATTTGTTATGTTTATGTTTTAGTTGTTATGTTCGGTTCCTCGACCTTTAATCCGGCTAGTGTACTGAGTACTATAACCATTGACATTTTTTTTCTAACATTTTGAACTTAGTCCGCTAGATATAACACATTTAACTTTTTTTGGAAACACTGATTTGATCAAGTAAAATATGTGCACCTACAACTTTACAAAAACGTCTTAATTTCACTTCAAATAATAAATGTATATGTAATATTATTTTTAATGGTTAAGTTAAGAAATAATAAAGACCAATAATACTTTTACCCATTTAAATATATGTGTTTGAAATTAATAACCTAAATTAACCGTGTATTGGCGGTCTACCGTCCCGTGAGGCAGCAGCATCTTCCTAATAAAAAACAAAAAAAGCAATGATTGTCAACATAGGCATGTTGAGCAATGTACTTTTATAGGCTGTGTGTAATAAATCGACAATAAATAATAAGTATAATAGTAATAGCGTTTTTTTATGTTGATAATTTTCAGGTATTATTGGTCTATGTACAGCAGTACATGATATAATTATGACCGTATTTGCTAATAATAAGTATTTAGAAGTGCTTTAACAGTAAGTGTGTGACAGCCTGCTTTTGCTTACGTTTGATTGTTAAGCATAGAACTCCTCTCACTTCTGAGATGATTTTGTAGCATTTAACGTGAAACCAAATGCGTATACGGACTACGTAGTTTCTTAAAACATTTTTAACTTATTAAACATTGAGCAAAAACACAAACAAATCAAATTTATGCTGTAGAGTCTACAAGGGATTCCTCAGTCGCCAGGCGACCAAATTGGCGAAATATGAATATTGAATATGGGTCAAATTAAGTGTACCCTTAACCAATTATATATATATATATATATATATATATATATATATATATATATATATATATATATATATATATATATATATATATATATACATATAGGTTGTGCTAAATGGAAGACCGTTGTCCCTGGTGACCCCCCTGGTTGATGAATGTAAAAGTTTCTTTATATACATATGTATATACATAGGTTTGTTCATGATGTGATCGCGGAGTACGTAGAAATTGCAATTAACAATTATATTGGTGTCGGCCAAAATTGAAGGTTTAAGCGTTTATTCATTAATTTACAATTTCAAATAGTACAAAAACATCCCCAATAAAAAAAACAGAAATAAATAATGTATAAATAACTGAGTATATTGTGGAAAAATACTTTATAAATTCAGATCGAAAGATTTGCTTAGAGATATCAGTCCGAGCAGCAGTTGTAACACTCAGTTCCCTAGCTTGGTACATCGGATCATAGCGCCACAGCAATGGATTTATAGACACCGTCGCCGTCCAGATATCCTCTTAAGGCAAATTCTCAATCCTTCGAACTTCGGGTGAGGTCCATATTAAAATTCCCGAGAAAAAAATTCTGAGAATCAAAGGGGGCCTCCCAAGGCGCTTCTCGCAATTTTTCAATAGAAAGAACAGTAGTACCTACGTTAAATTTACGGAACTGATTAATAGCTGATTCACACGTTATTTTGATTTTAATTTGGTTAAGTGTTTTCCCCAAAGTTGGAACACCGTGAAACTGGTGCGTAAAGGCACGTGATATAGTGCTTATCATAAGCTTTAGCTTAACATACGAGCACATATCATTTTTATCGCTTTTCACTTTTACGCTTCGATTGACTGCTTTCCTAACGCTAACGACCAGCGAAACAAAGAGATAACAGTCATAAGTTCGAGGCCAACAAGATACATTTGTATGTTTGGTTCATGATAATTAAAACTCTCATTACATTTTCCTCGTTCGTTTTCTTCAATAATCTTTACACATGTGCATACAGATGTAAAGAAGACGAGATAAATGTGACTCACGTGATCGTTCCAAACGGAAGTCCGTAGTCTCTGCCTACTCCTCTGGGTGATAGACGTGAGTGTTTATGTATGTTTATAATCTATGTACGTTGAAACGAAAAATTCCATCCTCTTCAGGGGTGACAACGCGCCTGAATTTTGATTGTAATTTATGACAGATTTAGCTGTCTACAAGCCAGCACGCAACAAGCTATCTTTTAACTTCTTATATCCGTATATCTATACTTTTACCTTAAATTGGAATGTGTGCTCGGTAGTGAACCTTATTCTATTAAAGAAATCTTTTAAAAAATTACTTTTAATGATGTAAATAAACTACTGATAATGTCTCTATACTTTCCGTACCCAAAGTTTTAAAATAACCAATTTTTTTAATAACGGCAACTGATTCAAATCTCAGTCGAGCGCGAAATGTAAATTATTTAATATCATTTAAGATAATATGATCGAAAGGAGTTGAGTTGGAGATATAATAATATAATCGCACAATCTTGGTGCAAGACTTTTTTGATGTCATTTTCTTTTTACGAGGTAATATCATTTCAGTATGACCAGAGGTATGACGGAATGCCAAAGCGTAGACGAGCGAATCAGTACAGTTACGAGCACTGCTGTGTTCACACGGCTGAGCGTTCACGAGTCGGCTTTTGGGGAACGAGTGTTATCACGCATCGGATTTAGATAAAAGAAGTTTCTAAAATTAATATAGATTCGGGTATACACAAAAGAATATGAAGTCTATGCTGTAAAATTAAAAATTTAATAGTATTTAATATCAAGTTTGGAACATATATACGGAAAAAAATATAATTCAAGAAACCTTTTCCGGTAAGTTTAATGTGAAATCTATATATTTTTCAAATAAAGCCGTTTTAAAACTGAATTAAAAATCAAGTATAAAATAAGACTAGAATAAGATGAGGTGAATTCCTTGTAATTTTATTATTTATCCAAATACTTTTAAATTGTTTTAAGTAATCATTATTAAATAAGTTTTAATTTTTAAAACACCATTACGGTGCTGTTATAGTATGCTAAACATAGGCCTCCCTCATAGATTTTCTAATTTTTGCCATAGTTGTTACGTTTGAGGGGCGGGTTCTCAACCGCAGTGCTTTATTTCTTTTAGTTGATGTTTTCGATAGCTGAAAAACATAGTACGATATGGGATGATGGATATTCCTACACTGCGGCTGCTATTGAAAAATATTTTTCTCCTATATATTAATAAACGTTCGTAAAGTATTATTATTAAACATACAAATAATATACAATACTTATTTTCAGTAAAAAAACATATTCAAAATTGCACTTAAAAAAATCTAATTCTAAAACTAAAATGAACATCCACAAGAGTACTGTTTTATCTCGCTCAATACTTCAACAGATAAATGTACTTTGTAATGTTACCCATAATCAAGGACATATATTTTTATCTATACAGACATTGAATTACCAATATGCTGAAACACCAATCGATGAAGCCGCTCTGTAAAATTAATTCCTTATGCAGCTACTAATTATTGCAATAAAAAGTGAAACTGGTTGCAGGCGGGCTATGTTAAGTGTTTTTCGATGATGTGGTATTAGGAGTGGAATCGTAAGTAAAACCGTAGTAACACGTCTATGTTATAAGTACACAAAACAATATTTCACGGAATTTTGTATGCAGTTGTACATTAGAGCATACATTAGAGAGGAAGATGGTATTGGTTGACAAAACACAAAGATAAATTATTACCAAGGGCAAATTATTTTAAAGTTTGATTTAACCCCTCAGTCCCCTTAAAATTCTCATGCAGTTGCATGCGCCCGGCAAATCCCGAGCGGTCGTATGCGACGGCACCCACCCGCATCACTTAAAACCATTAAAACTTATATTTGGAGACTACTTTTCAATGAAAAAGTTGACATTATAAAATCTATACAAATTCTCTATATAAAAGTCAGGTTTTAGTTCATTACAAAAAGACTATTGTATTTTGATAACAAAAACAAAAGATACCAAGCGAATGTCGGCAGCGTGAAAATCACAATTGTTTCAATATATATTAGACGAAATTATTTATGCAAAAAGATTAAAAAATTATGAAAGTTTTTAATAAATACTATACTGAAACACTAGAAAAATCCAAAAATCAACACAATAACATTCACGCGAAAGTGGCGTATGAAATGAACGTAGGTTATAAATAAATATCCATAGCATAACTATTTTTTAATTACACTAGAGGATAGAAATTTTCTTATTGATTCTATAATGCCAAACTTCTTCATTGAAAAGTAGTCACTAAATATAAAATTTTATGTTTTAAAGTGCTGTGGGTGTGCGCGGTCGGATTCGACCGCTTAGGGGTTGAAGGGTTAAAATGATAGGTATAATAGCTTATGCGACCGAAGAAACGTACCCCCATACCGCCAAATC